ACGGCAGGACAAAGAGGAGGATGGCGACAAAGATGGCCACAGTGGCGTCTGTGACATACCTGAGTGGAAGGTAATGTCTTATGAGGGTGACTTCAAGACAAACCAGGCCCTATTTTCATAGACAGGTGCATGTTTGCTCGCCGTAAAAACTGGCATATCTTCATTTTTGGGTCGGGGCAAGTTTAGGTTACCATGCTTGGGAATTTGGCATTTGTGCCTCACTAAATATCCTGGTAGATCAAGGACCTTAGCTCCATGGCGCAGGTGGTGCATTGTCTATGAAAATACAGCGCAAAATGTTCTTAGAGGGGAAGGGGAAAAAGTTTGGTACTCTGCTTTGGAGTTGAAGATGTCCGTGGCCCAGCCGTGCATAAAGCCAGGGTCCCTGGAGAACCACAGGACCACTAGCAGAATGAAGAGACCCAGGACGCTGAGCTCGCCAAAGGACATGGGCCCCAGCCGACGATGCTGCCCTCGGATCACTTCATAGGCGGCCACTTCCTTCTCCGTCTTTTCAGCATTGCAGCCCCACGTCTTCTTGAAGCTGGAAAACGAAAACGGCTCTACGTTCAGTCCCCTTGCTCCGCCGTGTGGTTTCTTAGCGTCCTTTCACTCACTTGAATCCAATGAAGACAAACTGTAGCCACACCCACGCCAGCATCAGCATAAGGATCATGTTGGGGAAGGCGAATCCGAACCAGGAGGCGAAATTGATCACGTCGCCGTTTTCAGGAAATATTCTGAAGGCAACAATTAGATTTAGCTTCGGTTCATGCCTGAAAATCATAGTTCACATTAAGTTCCCTCAGAAGATGATTCAAGCATCCGTCCACTCATCAACCACCGCAGGGTGGGCGGCCTTCATTCCTCAAAAGGGCCAGCTCGCTGACCGACAAGAACATCGGCATTTCTCCATCCTCTGATTGCTTGGGTTATTGCTGCTGCTGTGTGCTGTTATTTTGCCATTTTGTATCATATTGATGGTGTCTATAGCTGCAACATGGTCGTAGGAGTATTCGGAGTTCGATTAGGTCGCCACTGAAGGCTCAGATACAAAACGCACAGTTCGCAACCGCCCTCCACCCATCAGACCCAACACCCACTGGCTCATTTGTCCGTTGAGCACCAAGTTGGGACCGGTGCCCGTCAGCGTAGCGGTGCCGCCGATGCTTGCGGCGTAGCAGACGCAAAGGGTCATCCCTTTGCTCATCTTCCGTCTTTCCGCTGCCTCCTTCTGCCGGTTCACCTCAACGGCGCTGTCCAAGAAAGTCACCACCACAGCGCCTTCAACCACGAGATCAGAGTCTGAGAGGAGCAACCCAAAAACACGGTACCCGAAAAGTCCGGCATCCTCTCACCTTTCGCCTCTGTTTGTTTCTGCTGCTTGTCGCTCAACTCCGACGCCTGGGCCGCATCCGAGCTCAGGATGGCGGGCATCTGCGCATCGCTGTTGTTGAGCTCCTCCAGGACGGCTTGGACGATGGGCACCATCATGGCTGTGGTGGCCGTGTTGCTGATCCACATGGACAAAAAGGCCGTCACGCCCATGAAGCCCAGCATCAGCCTGCCGACAATGGTCAAAATATCAATTGGATGCTCGAGCCATCTTTCATCTTTCTCTCAAAAAGTATAATATTACGAGAATAAAGTTTTACTTTTGATATTCGGTGGTTAACCCTTTCAGGGACAGCGGTTACTGCAGTGGACAGATTATCATTTTTTCAGGTTAAAGAGTGCATGAAAGGGTGAACAATATTAATAATAATAATAATAAGAAGAAGATTATGACTTTATCTCAGGAAATATAACTGTTCTTATGATTTTACTTTTTTAAGAATCTGAATTTTTATTCATCACTTCATGACTTTTCTTGAAAAAAATTGGCCATGGTAATTTGTCATTATGTTTTGATGCTGTTTGGAAAAATGTCTCCCTTGACCCATGTAGCTTGAGAAACCCTGCATTTGAGGACTTGTCGTGAACAAACCATCAAACGGGAAAAAATAAGTTCCTCCACAGTGGAAACAGGACGCTTGATGCAACTCACAGTGCCGGACGCACGCCGACTAACAGGAGCACCCTCAGGGCGATGCGCTTGTGCAGGTTCCAGTGCTCCACGGCCACGGCTACCATCAGACCGCCCACAAACAACAGGTTGGTGTCCTTCAGGTACTGCATGCACACCTGAAGGCAGTTGAATGAAAATCTCTCGGGTGGATGGATAGATTGCGCTTGGGGTACTTAAAACAAAATCACATGGAGCCACTTCAGGAGAGAAGTGATACTCCAGCAAGACAAAGAACATGCTGGAGCAACCTGGGTCAAGGACGGTCAGATGCTCGGGACATTGTGACCAGCGGCACTTTCGGCTCTTCTCAAAAACTCAACAAAGCAAACACCGGCAGGGATCTCTTTGGAGACGTGCTGCTTGATTGTCTGGCTCACACTGAAGGGCAAAACTCGTCTTTTGGGTTTCTGACATATCGAACTTTCCTAACACACTTTGTATGTCAGTGTGTAAAAAAATCAAAAAAAAAAAAACCAACAAAAGGCCAGATTTCACTTACACTCTGGGACTCCATGACGCCAAAGAGCGGGAAGAGGAGGGCAGGGAGCAAAGCCGTCACTGCCAGCGGGAGGACCTCGGTGCACCAGTACACCGCCATGAGGATGATCACATAGGCGCATGCCGCTTCCTGTCATATCAGAGATCTCAGCATTATCATCTGCTCTTACATAATTCAACAATACCATGGTCCAAAGGGTGTTAATGAGTGTTTATCAGGACTTTGGTTGATTTATTTTTGTTGTTGATGATGATGATGAGCTATCAGGCTATCCTTAGGGCAGAATTCTTTGGTCACAAATACTAAGCACAAGCAGCTCGTGATTTTTAGTCTTTATCACAACATGCGTGTGCGTCACAGCGTGGACGCGGGAGGATTCCCACGCTGGAAAAAAAAAAGTCCCGCTATGTTAAAATCACAGTTTGTAACACCAAGTCGCGTTCTCGTGGATTTTTGTGAATACATGAGCAACAGGTGCAAGTTCAACACATGCCACACGAGTCAAGGAGAATCAATTAGTCTTTATCACAACATGCGTGTGCGTCACAGCGAGGACGCGGGAGGATTCCCACGCTGGGGAAAAAAAAAGCCCCGTTATGTTAAAATCACAGTTAGTAACACCAAGTCGCGTTCTCGTGGATTTTCGTGAATACATGAGCAACAGGTGCAAGTTCAACATATGCCACACGAGTCAAGGAGAATCACTGAGGACTTCGACGTCATTTTAGCATACCCCAATGCGTGACATTAATCAGTAAGGGAATGATAATAATGCATAATAACATACCGACGTGCCAATGACGAGCGGCAGTGGCAACAGAAGGAGCGGAGCCGCGAAGAGGATGAACTCGTTCTTGATCGACCGCAGGCGCTTGGGCAGAGGCATCCTGATTAAAGCCACAATCGGGAAAGTGGCCGTCTCTTATTAGTGAGTGCGTGGTGCATTGACGTCAAAAAAAGAGTGAGACTCCCACGCGGTGAAAAACAAGAGAGAGACGGAGACAGGGAAAGAACGTACAAAGGAAAAGGGGCGGTGCAAATTTGTTCACGGTGCAGGCAGGGTTCCTGACAAAAAAAGAGACACGAAATGTTAAATTCAGTTCACATGTTGAACGGGTCATATTGGAAACTTGCATATTTTGAAGAGAACGGCTATAGATTTGAAAAGTCCTTATCTTTCATGAAAAATAAGTCCCAACATTTTGCATTGAATCAAGAAAAAAAAATCGTTATCTGATTACAACCCCTTTTTTTTTCTTTTTATAGAAAACTTATAAATTTTGTTTTGCTTGTCAGAAAAACGAGGAACAAGAATAAAGTTTTACATTTTTCACAAAAACTTGTAGGGTTCCAATAAGAAAATATATTTTTTAAGAAATTATTTGAGAAAAAAAAGCATGTTCATTTTTTTTAAAAAGATTGTATTTTGAAAGATTTTGTTTTCCTACAGATTATAATAGTTGGTCAATTTAAAGCTCTAAAAAGGAGTTTCATCCATCCTTCCATTTTCTAATATGATTTTTTTCACGAGGGTCGCGGTTGTGCTGGAGCCAATCCCAGCTGTCATCAGGCAGGAGGCGCTCACCATCACACCACGGGACAATTTAGAGTGTTCCGTTAACCTGACACACGTTTTTGGAATGTGGGAGGAAACCGGGGTACCCCGGAGAATACCCTCCCAGGCACGGTAAGAACATGCAAACTCCGCACAGGAAGGCCGGAATTGAACCCTGCACCTCCGCTCTGTGAGGTGGACGTGCTAACCAGTCGCCAACCATGCCACCCTAAAAAGAAATGTTGAAAACAAAAATCAATACTTTTTATGATTTTTGTAAACACATTTCCCACAAAAGGTTGTACTTTATGATTTCAGCATTTGCAAATTCACTTTTTTGTTGAGGGTAACATGGGGGGAAATAAAGCCTGAAAATTATTTTGGTGGAAACATTTATTTATTGTCGTACTTCTGAGAATCTCTTATCTGTTTCCACAAACATTCACCAAAACAGTTGCCCATTAAACCACATTTTCTAAGCAGCTGTGAGAGGTGCACAAATTTAAAAAAAGGTGAGCAAATACATTTTAGGAATTTGAATGAACTGCATACATTCCAATTAAGACTAAAACTAAGTCTGCAAAAATGTAAGGGAGCCACTTTAGACACAAGGTTACACTTTTGTTAAAAACAGGGATAATTCATTGAAGGTGAATGAGCCTTTTCAACTAAAGTGAGACAAGATGGAGCCATTCATTAATATCAAATTGTGTTGAATTAAAAAAAAAATGACTTGGTGATAACACTGTCCACTATATCCGTAAACATAAAAAGCTATTTGTGTTGGCTTGTAGTGTGCTTGCATTGTCAGATGTAAATTCTATGTTAAATTTTATCTTTGGACTTTCATTCAAATAATTTGACAACACAACGCACCACACTTTCAGTATTTGTTTTATTTTCTTACAACAAAACTATGACATTACTACATAAAAATTCAACAAAAGTGTCAAAATAAAAGCTCCAATGCACCATTGTGAAAAGAACGCTGTCAACCCTAAAATCAATCAACTCACCATGAGCAGATAGCAAAAGCAAAAAGAAGACAGCTTCAAACCTCGGTATTGTTACTGTGACACTTAAATAAAACATTTTCCACCCTCGCAGAAACTGCACCATACCAACTTGAAACCCCAAAGCGTCTTCAGCAGTTGCCGTGTTGAACGGTGGAGAAGCACAGCTTGAGGGTGTACGGGTACGGACCGGCTAAAACAAGGAAGAGTTGGGATTGCTGAAAAGTAATAACTACTTGGCATAACTGAGGTGGGCAAAAAGTGGTGAATCACATACTTGCGTTCTTCATCTGGTAGTGGTTCATCAAGGCCAGAGCTTCCATGGCATCATTGATTGATTCCCACTCCAGTAGTCCGGAAGCGCTACGGTCGCTCGGAGCACCGCCACCTGGTGGAGGAAACAGGAAGAAAAAAATAAATATTAGAAGCTCCATGAGATTTGGTGAGCGAATGACCTATTATATTTGCCTAAAATTAGCAAAGCTCCACATAAAAAGATGGCATAATTAGTTATTCGCTACCCCACCCCTTATTTGAAGCACTAATACAGCATTAGCCTGAGCACAAAATAGCATATAGCTTTAGTTATACAGTACTTTTTCCAGAGGATTACAGACAGACCCAGTTTCAGGGAGGGGAAAAAAATTAAAAATAAAATAGGCAAATGTGCGGAATGCTGGACTGCGAACATGGGGTAATCAGCAATGCTTGCTTGGGGGCGATCTGATTTCCAGTTGCTGCCATATTGGCCCGTCCTTTTTCTGTGCAGCACCTAAATCTGCCTGCAACAAGTGACGGACTCAACCAACAAACAAACAAACAAAAAAAAAAAAAAGTCTAGTTTTTTTAATTTTAATTGAAAAAAAAATCTCTAATTCAGTACATTTAAAAGACAAATTTGTCTACCTACAAAATATTTTTCCCTGCAGGGCCTCTTGACAGATGTGAAATGTAATTATGACTTATTAGTGATATATTTTCAAGTAAACCCACAATAAATGTAATGTAAAATTTATAGCAGAATAATTTAGAGTATAACAAGTGCACTTGTTTTCCTACGGATCCATTTTTCTCTCAATGACAACATCTTACTCTTGCCTGTGAACATTTTGACGTTGACGGGGCACTTGACGCCGATGTCCTCACAGATCTGTAAGGAAACACGACAGCTGAATCGAGTAGACTCCTCCGACATGGTTGTCATGACGTTTTGGTCCTCACCTGAGAGAATATCTCAGGGGTCACGTCGGGCTGGGCGTTGAAAAAGTGCAGCACGTTGCTGGGGTGCTGTATACGATTCTTCGCCGCCTGCTCGGGCGACGTGAAGCGGTTGTTCCTGGAACCGTGGAAGTCCTTGAAGCTGCTGGAGCCGTCCTCCAGCTCATAGCACTGGCCTGGCACGATGGCCTGCTGCTTGGAGACGCTGCGTCCACGGAAACAAGAGGTTTGGGGTCATGTGGGATGTTTCGCATGATGTGATCTCTTCTCGCCTACGATCGAGCATCCACTCACCACACGTTCAGCTTCTGCGCAAACAGGAAGTTGCTGTTGAGGTGCGTGATGGCGCGGTCCACAGCGTAGCAGTCACCCATCTCCACCATGGCGGCACCCGGTTTGCTCTTCATGAACTTGACCTGTGAGGTTACGTTACAGTATAAATACTGTGCAAATATGCTACGTTCGATGTGTGCGGCATGGACAAATAGATATGTACTAACCCGCTCCACGTTGCCATACAGACAGAATATGTTGAACACGCGGTCGGCGTTCATCTTTTCAGGCTCCAGTCCGTAGACCATGACCACTGGTGAGTCTGCGTGGGCCCCGTACTCGCCGGGAGGTGGTGGCGGGGGACCGTAGTTGGGCTGGTAGCTTCTACTGCCGCGGGCCCTCATCGGAGGTCCCATTCGGCGGCTCTCGTAAGGCGATGAGCCGTAGCTCTCGTCATAGCCGTGGTAACCACCAAATGTTGGAGAAGACAGACAAAAGCTATTGCTTGGAGACACAGGATGAGGATTGGGCCTAATACACGTTGTGGATGTGATTGACTTACTGTACTCCGGGGGGTGGTCGCCCAGGAGGGCAGGCTGGCGCTGACGCTTGTTGGGGTTGGCACCCATGTCGTCTGAGGAAAAAAAAAACAACAAATATGGAGCAGCCACATGATGGGACGTAACACATAGCAACACAAACAAAAACACTAACACTCACCAACGCTGTTTAAATAAATACAGGGGCATGCATGCCTTAGTCAACACACCCCGAGGATCAAGAATTCCGTCTCATGTAAATGAGCCACTGCTCACCTCTCTACTGCAGGGTGTACCCAATGTGAGAGTGACAAGAAACTACAGAAAATATGGAAACAACCAGTTCACCATGTATATAACTGTCCACTTTCGAAACGGCAGGTAGCTTTAACACTCATCGTGGAGGCGGCACACTGATGGGTTGATGATGTATGCAGGGGTGAGTTCAAACTGTCACTCAAGGGCAAAACCAATACTATACTTTGGAGAAAGTAAACACACCTGCGTTGCTCCCATTGCCATCCAGGTCGCCATCTGCACGGGTGCACAATAATGACACACATTCAGAGAGGAGGCCATGATTTATGCTCGCAAGGTTAGCACAATGGGTGGGAGAGGGAGTGGGGGTCGATTAAGTTAAACTGGCAGGAAAGCAGTGTGGCAAGAGCCTGGATGAGGCCCTCCCTTCCAGCACCTCAGCTACAAGCTTGACACGTGGTGTCAGGAGGATTCTGAACACTGAAGTGGTGGTGGTCCGCAGAGTGTAAAAAAAGTGAGGTGTGGCCATGTTGGGTGCTGAGGAGGCTTCTCGTGTTACTTACTGCAAGAGCACACACAGAGGAAGGAAGGGTGCGGTGGCTTCACCACTCCACTACTCATTTCATCGCACACCCATAGCCTCTTTTGCGGAGGGAGATAGATACAACTGGCCACCTTGGCGTCTTAACGAGCGCCGCCCGGTCCCATTTTCAGGCAGGTCCCCCTTTTCGTTCCCTTTTTGGAACAGTCCGCTTAAGGAGGGACGAAGGCCGGCCCCCGAGGCAACATGGCCTCACGTGGGAGGAACTAGCCAGCTTCTAGACTCTGAAAGATGGGAGACAAAGCATCGATACAAGGAGGCATGTAGAGAAGGACATGGCTGAGTCAGCAGAAATGGGCCTGCGTGTTCTGTTCTGGTGTTGTCAGCAGTGTCTTCATCAGTCGGCTCTCCGTGCTTGGATCAGTTGCGGTGTGTGGTGGTGTTGGCGCATCAGTGTGGCCTTTTTGTCTGTTTTGGGTGGGTGTGTTGTCCTCAGTGGTGTCAGCATCCATTTTGCGGTGGTGGTGGTGGGGGGGATGATGATGATTGGAGGTGGTGGTGGGGGGGTGTGGTGTTGAAGCTTTTGGAGCACCTCGGTGTGTCTGGGACCAAGCGTAGCTCGGCGCCTTCTAGACATGTGCGCTGTTCGTCGCGCTCCGGAGCGGAGCAGCGAGTGAAGGGGAATAAAATCCTACGGAGTCTTGACCGATGGAGGTGTGACAGAGGTTGTGTCCTCTGTGTAGAACACAAGGTGGCGGCGGTGATGTCAGCGTGTGTCTGCCACTCCCTTTCTGTGGCTTTAGTGCGTTTGTGCCCGAGTCTAACTGTTGGGGATCAGTTGTGTTTCCAGAAAAAGACTCAAGGGGGTTGGGGGGGAGGGGAGGAACATTAAAAGATTGAAGTGCACATTTGACAAGCTGTGGCTGTGTGCATAAGAATGCAGACGCAAAGTTTTTCATATGAATGCATACCAACTATGTGGAACATGAAAATGAGCAAAAAGCATGCATGTCAAATATTTTTTTTTCTTCTTACCTAAAATACAGGAGGGAGATAAAAATAATAATAATAATATGCACTAAATTTGAAATAGTGGAACCTTGCAAGTCCATAGTTCCTAAAACCTTAAACCACAATTTCACGACCTGGCACGAGAGCTGTTCAGCAAGCAAACGGACTATCAATGTTGCTCAAAAACGAAATTACAACCATAAACGATTGAATGTTTTCTTCTTTTTACTCAAAGCACCACGAAAAACAAAAATATCACTTTGTACTTTCATCAAAAAGCAGTGACGCAGGAAATTTGAAAAGTGTCACAATTTTCATGGAAAATTTATTTACAGCAATGCGATTGGTTCTATCAATGTATTCACTTGGTCTCTGTCTGCTTTCATGGTTGACTACAGAAATCTGATTGCCGGAATTTACTGTTGAAGCAGAAATTCTGAGGATTTGGACAACCTTTAGCTAAACAAGGCCTGTAAATGACTAATCAATGATCAAAACCGTTATTGATTAATTTGATAATCAAACGTTTTCATCAACTAACTGATGCACCTCTATTAGGATTAAAATCTGTCATTTTGTTGATGAACAGTTCAACCTACAATGCAGCGGCTTTTTAGTGTTGGTCTGTCGGTACGTTCTACTATACACGAGTGACTCAAAGCAACAGAGGTACGCCGTTAACATTGTTCAAGCTGGTTGAACTGAACAGGCAATGGCAAAACGGCAGTTGGAGCTACACGTAAAACGCTGCAGTTTCCGGAAAACAAAGCGTTCCTGACATTCCCGCCATAGTCACAGATTATTGTGGGTTTCTGATCCACTGATATCACAACAGTGTTTTGTGTTGAAGATGTGGAGGTGCCCTCTGCTGTGTGACCACATCATGTGGGGGACTACTTGGTGGCGTTGACATTGTGATGCATGAGTTTGTAGACGTGGTGTGAGTGAGTTGTTACCTGGTCCACCCAAATTGGGATTGGTGTAGTCCCAAGTGTCCTGATCATTCTTGAACACATTCAACCGAGTAGGCTGAGGGAACAAAGCACAATGGCACATTAAAATAACCTGTATTTTGAGGACACACACTTCCAGCGTGGAGTCCACCGGCTGTACCTTGGCGTATTCGATCTTCAGTGTGCAGCATCCAGAGTAGATGTCGGCTCCGTTGAGAGATGCTTTGGCTCGCTGGGCGCTTTGCACAGAGTCAAATGTAACATAGAAGTTAAGGTGTCAATTGTCCCCAGCAATTAGGGGTGGGAACATTTTTGGAAATTAGGTTAAAAAATAAAAAATGTAAACATAATTAGATGTCCCTCCCAATACTTTTAGTAAGTAGCTTTCTGGGTCTGCTATTTTTATAATTATTAAATATAAATATTATTATTCAACTCTTCGAAAGGATATTCCACCATGGCTTGCACACCATTCTTCCTAAAGATGACAATTCTGTGAACAGGGCCACAGTTGTTGCAGATGGTGTAGAGTACCTCCTGTAGAGAAAAAGATCTGCTATAGAGGGAACAGAGGTTGCGGCAAATCTTTTTTGACTCACTCACCGTGGTGATGGGGTAGATGGGGTTCATGATGGTGAGCAGCAGTATGTTGTTGACGCTCCTCGAGTCATCAGAGTCTCCTGGCCTAGAGATCTTCTGGCTGGTGGAGTAGTTGATGAAGGCCGGGTGGCTGGCGATGTACACCTGGTTGTCAGCGCCGTAAGTTACCGCCGTGGATGAGCCGTTCATGTCCTCATACTCTACCAGCGCCTGACGCTTCTTGGGCATTAGCACTACATAGCTTGTAAGAAGAGAGAAGTGCAAACATATATTTGAGTATCAGTGGCAGGTTTGTGCAAAAAACTGACGCGTGTTAATACAGCATTTCAGGTTACGACCAATCATGACTCAAATGCAGAAAATAGGTCAGTCTTGATTGGTCGTTACCGAAGCCCTTTGGCACTGTGATGTCATTTACAGGCGGCAACAAGTGGAAAAACGGCCATCCCTAAGGATGATTGAAAAACGTGGATATTGTTGCTTAATTCCTATTCCACTAATGCAATATCAATCAGAAGAACATATTTAGGGTTGTTGAGCCGCATAGAACATAATATTGTCAAGAAAATCTTTGCCTTGACTTCCACTTCAAACAGCACCTATCAGAAATACAATAAATATTTTACAATACATGCTGATTTATATAGCGCTTTCACAACAGCTGCAGCTGTAACAAAGCGCTTAACAAAACAGTTAACATAAAGTAAAATATTTTCCATTTCTTTGCAATATTGTGAACATTTTAAGGAAACGGTACAACCGCAGATGGTGAATAGGGTGGTTAACAATGGTAAATCGCATTTCCTCGATCAAAACAACAGACATTTGAACCACGGTTTCTTCACCTGATGGTTCCAAACTCTTGCAGGGCCTCCATCAGGTCCGACTCCGTAACACCATCAACCAGGCCTCGGACGTGCACCACTATGGATGGAAGGGTCTTGTGGGGGTCTTCATAGCCCTATCACAGAAACTGACAGTTAGCTTCTGTCAAGTGTCACATACTATACAGTCAAAATATTGCCACTAGGCTTCTAATCTCCACAAACCAACACGAGTATTGCGTTTCAAAGAGACTAAAACGTGAATGTGATTTCTGAAATGTTGAGCTGCGAATCAGTCTGGGTTCACATGCCACACTGATCACCTCGGCGCCATATTGAACCTAAAGGGATCACGTGAGTGTGAGTGTCCATGTGGTATGGAGGTGTGTTTAAAAAGCCCCGTTTTCATTTGAAAAGCAACTTGTTTAAAGGGCTAAATTTAAAAACATGGGGCGTCATGACATTATTATATATATATTTTTTGGGGGGTTGAAAGACTGGAGTGGCATTTGCGCTATAACAAACGTTGTAAATCATGGAGAGGCTACGGTTACGTAGTTACCGGTGCGAGAACAAAGCCGAGCTTCGGGTAGGCCCAACGGGGGCAAACCTCCGAAATGCCGCCATTTCGACGTAAATATCACAACCGAGTGGGCAATTTGGGTGCAGAATATTCATTTGCATCACAACGCAGAAGGATATGATAGGCTCGTTACAGCTGGAAGTTAAAAAAAGGAACAATTTAAGACGGCCTTTGGGAAGCTGCGTTCATATTTTAGCAGCTGGCGCGGTCGCTGTCGTGCGAGGAGTCCAAATCGCATATACTGTACATCAACAAGCTGCTCACCGTTGACATTCCGTCGGTTTTCTGTCTTTTGGTCGCCCTACCCTCCTCGCTATAATATCGACTCGCCGCAGTTGCCATGTTGTCTCAGTTTTAAAGGATAGTGGCTAATTGCTGAGGCTATGAAATGGACCAGCAACTCCAAGCGAAACGAAGCTCTCGTCAAACACGCCCCCTCAGTCCCGCATTATCATCTCTGATAGGTGGACACTAGTGTCAATCCAACGTCACTAGTGCCGCAGCCAACCGAGAGTCTACATTCCAACGCATCTCACTCCTGACGGTTTTACAAATAATTTCATTTTACACGGCTGTATTTGCCATCACTCAAATTTCAACCGAATATGTATACGTCACACAGTATGGATTACACACAAATGATTTTTTGGGTAAACACATTATACTTCCGATACCTTCATAACGTCACTTGTGGAAATTGCGTCATCCGTACAACTACACTTGGGGAATACAAAAATATACTTGGTCTGATAGACTATCTGCAAATAGGTATTTCAACATTTACAGTGGTTGAATCGCTAAGCACGGCCACCATGGATGGTTCGAGCCTCGAGTAATCCAAACTCAAAATTTCGTTCGTTTTGTCTTCTGGTTTTCGCGGCCGTCCTCTGGTGCACTGTAGGCAAGAAGCTTTATTGACATAGCACACTTCATATACACGGCCACCTAATGTGCTTCGGTCATGTTTTACCTCCATCCAGCCATTATTTCACCTATGGAAAGAAAAGCATGCTGCCCGTATTATTGCGCTACATAACGTGACTGCGCATGCGCCAAGCCGCCATCTTGGGAAGCTTCTTTTGACTTGTTTAGACAAAATGGTGTTCAATTGTCAATAGTAAATACCGTGTCACGCATTGGAAAATACAGTGTAACAAAAGGCCATGGACTTATGTTGGAGAGATTTATTTAAAAATAAAACTGACACTGTCTTAACAACCAAAGAAGCACTGAACTGTCCAAGCAGCCCTTCCAAAAATAAACAAACACAAAAATCACCTCAAACCAAATTTAAAATACACAAAAACAAAGTGAAAATCAAAAGCACGAAATACATTTCGTGCATGGGGGTGGGGTGCAGTACAGAAATGTAATTTATGAAGGAATACAGGCCTGGTTCATCTGCTTCATGGATGGTTCAAAGTATGTTTGATACTAAGGACTCAAAGTGTTTTAATTGGTTAAAAGTCCACTACATTATTTAGCTTGGACCAAAAACAAAACGACATGAAAGACCATGGAAGAACGTCCTCTCAAACTGCACATTGTTTCTCGAAATTAAATGCGACCTGACATGGAAATCAACGTGGAGGGCTGTTATAAAACCGGACGGGGGTAGGAAACAGGATGGTGGGAGGGTGTTGCATTAGTCTTGTTCTTCACTCAGTTGGCGGCTGGTGTTGGACTTCGGTTTTGACTTGCTGAACGGGAACGACTGAAACAGAAACACAGAGGAATCAGTTTGCTGTAGAGGAGAATGGAAGACCGAAGACAAACACCCTCACACCACACATTCACTCAGCTAAGTCACTTGGTGAACAACTTGGGAGGAATAACTTGCTGGGTTACATGTTAGTGGCCCATGTCTAAAATAAGGACTGAATGATGGCAGCCCCAATGCAAAGTCAAACCAGTTTGTCTCACTACTAAAAAGTGGGCAACAGCTTGAGCTGTGGGGACAAAATTGCAACACTGCCCTTCAACAGCGCTTAAGAGTCCATGGGGATGGAGGGTGGTAAGGAGTACAACTTGTCTGGCTGGCCTGCAGCACATACGGCTTCAGATGAAGATTTCTGCCCATCTAACACATGCGCTCCTCTGAGACAACACTCACTCACAGCACTCTCGAGCATGCTCATTCTCAACTTTTACTCTGTCACCACCCATGTCCCCAGTGTACATCAAGCCTATGCATTTGCTTTGACCATAGATAAGAGCTTGTCATGGGAGGAAGGGTAGGGTAGATATAGAGGATGGGGTGGGGAAGTAAATGGGGGGTTGTCGTTACCTTTGGAGACACTGGCAGAAACAACAAGTACAGAGAAGCGAAGGACGAAAGCACTGAAGGACGGATGACTACGCTCTTGTAGACTGATCTCTGGTCAGCTCGCTCTCATTTTCAGAAGCTAAGACAGAGGCCGCAGAGCTCTGGGAGGTAGGTAGTAGGGGGTCTGGTAGGTAGGTAATGGATTTTAAATGGTCGAACTCTGAATTGTTCGTGTCGGCGCTCTGGTAGATCTGCCGGCTGGCTGGTGGCCTTGGGTGACTCTAGGAGAACAATTGTAAGAGTGCACGGGCTGATCTCGTCTGAGCGTGTGCGTCGGTCGGACAGACGGTCACCCATTCACTGTGCGGGGGGAGGTTCTCGCTGTCTAACGCCAGGCGAAGGCTGATCTCAGGTCAGCGCTTAGTCACCCTCCCGCAGGATGTACACACCGCCAGCTGGCAGACCCTGGGCCTGGGATCAGCTGTAGTGTCAGCGCAGTGCGCAGCTCCCAGCACACACTTTAAAGAAAATATGAAAAATAAACAAAACTGTGCGGCAAAGATGCTCAAATCTAGCTGCAGCTCTGCATTCAAATTTGTCTAGCCACACTCAGGCTGGGAATCCCTAATTCATAGCACGTATAACATTGAAATTAACCAAAATTCAATTTCTGACAAGAATTTGGCGAAGCAAGAGAACATCAACAGTTCACACGCTCTTTGGCTTCAAGCAAGACTCAATTTAACAGCTGAGATAAACACAATCGTCACTTATTCGGCCCTACACCTCGCACAAGTCTCTCGTCGCAGTCCTCTATTCTCCTGCCACGCCAACATGGATGACAGCAGAGGCGGAAGATTAGATTCAGATGGGTCAGCGCCGAAGGTTCGGGGTCTCTGGTCACTCATCTCAGTGTGGACAACGATGGTGAGACACAGCCAGTTTGGAAGGAAGACTTGGTCAACACGCTTGCCTGAAGCTGCGACTAGCTGGAACTGACCCTCTCCTAGAACTCAACAGCTGTGACTCCAGCTGCGATATGACAGATTCATCTTGAACCACCTGGCCGGTGCTTCTTCCTGCCAAGTGTTACTTGCCGGACTGGGCGGGACTAAATGCTAGAATGCTACTACATGGCCAATATGCGGGAACAAGAGCCTGGCTGATTACCTGTTTCTCTTGTGATTGGCCGAGGGGGATCGAGAGCGGGAACGGGAGGCAGAGCGCCCTCTTGGTGCAGACCTGGACCGAGAACGGGACCTGGAGCGGCTGAGGAAAAATTAAAAAAAAAGAGAAATAAATATGTATAGATTGTAAAAAGCCACATTTTAGACTTCACTAAAACAAGTGCCCAACGTCAAAGATGATAAAAAAAACTAGCCCAAGACACTCAGGCCCACACTTGATTTTTAAAACAAACAAGACAGGCCAGGTCAGTCGGAGCTTGCAGACAAAGTAAAAACGTACCCTGCGCTTACTGTGCTTTGCATTAGGCTCAGACCCTTTTTTTTTTTTTTTTTTGCGCCAACCCCTTTTTTTGGCAGGAAAAAATTTC